AACATGAAGAACAGTGGATACAGTTGACAATAACTGCGAGTTACAGCTCACAGTAACTCTTCCATTTTGTTTTATTTATCGCATCACTTTGTATTGTTATCCAATTTGAAGTATCATTCCATTTAGCGTAGTAACACCATGCAGACGTACTGCTTTTACAACTTGAAGACAAATTGTTACTTGAATAGATGGGACAGAGCACAGAGCAAAGACCAAGAGTGATTTATTCAATGTGTGCAACCGACGGGGAGAACCTGCATTTACACGGATGAAAGAGAACCAGTAATAATTGCAGATCATGTCAGAGAAGATGAGTCTTCATCCAACTGATTTTTACAAAGAAGCAAAATTATGCATCATTTTAATTGATGTGAAAATGATTAAAGTTTTTTTATTTTCCCAAATACGATGTGAGACTCAGTTAGTTTAGCACAGAAACAGCTGATAGAGGTGTCCTTCAGAACTCTACATTTTATTTTTACTCCATGAATTCATGCGAGAGCCTGCACTTTTCCCCCCAAAAATGTATACTTCTACTTTAGGAAAGACTTAGTGTATGTATGCCACCTCTGAACTTAAACAAGCTGTACAAACATGCAAATAAAGTCTGCCTTTATATCATTATTTAAAACCTTAGGTGCATTTTCAGCACACATACTAAAGCACCCATATGCAGGGAAAGTAAGAAGCACTTAAAGTGAGTGAGTTCAGCTTTAATGAAGTTACAGGCTGATGGCATCTGCAGTGCCAGCAGCTGCAGCAGCTGTAGCAGCAGCAGCATCCACAAATGACAGTAAAACAGTTTTTTTTTTCTGAAAAGTTAGACCAAACTCCCTCCATCCTCCTGCAAGGCCTGGAGATCAGATAACAACACTGACAATCTGTGGAGGCACAAGTCGACCTGCTGTCTGCACTTCAGCACCAGTAACTCTGTTAAAAGGGGTTTGATTACTGTCAAAACACAGAAATGTGTGCGGATGTGGGCTCGGTGTCATGCACGGGGCATTGATCAGTGGTTGAATGGTTGATAGATACGCGGAGGAAGAGGAGAGATATTGGTTGAAAAAGCAGGGAATGACACAATGAGAGAGTGTAGGAAGACATTATCTGACTTGACAGTGTGTGTTAGATCTCAGAGAAGGAGGTGTTCCTGTGTGTGTGTGTATGTGTGTGTGTGTGTGTGTGTGTGTGTGTGTGTATATGTGTGTGTGTGTGTGTGTGTGGGTGGATCAGAAGTGATGTTACACCAAAACTGTTTCTGTAAGATAATGAGTGAATTTACCAACTCCCACAACGTCAAAGGAAGTGATGATTTTCCTTCATGTATTACATTATGTAAGACACCTAGGACATATGGATGTAGATATACTGTATCAAAACTATAGGAAGCAGGATGTGTTCAGCAAACAGCAACCATTACCCAAGAGTCGGTATAAATTATTAAAACACGACTTACTAAGTGTGTAAATAAATATCTTAAACTCTGACTTTTTGATTGCAGGCCTTTTCTCTGTTCAGTGTAGTGCCGTGTTGAGGAATATCATTACATGTAAATGGTTTGTGTTTTCTTTAATCCTTCATAAAGACACACCATGAGAAGATGACATATTTTACTCTCATTGAGTGGTTAAAAAAGGATGTTATACAGAGTGTGTGAAGAGGGAAGTTTTGTGTTTGTCATGAGGATGTCGATTTTGGAAAAATTCTTAAAAAGGATCAGGGTGAAAATCCTTGACATTGCTGTTTCTAGGGAATCGTTTTGATGGATTAAGGTGGGTATATTGATATGTGTCAGTGTTTGATGGAGCTGTCAGTATTTGTTTAGTCTCTAGAGTCTGTCACTACATACAGACAATGTTGGCTTATGTGAGTTCTATCAAGTGTTTGTGTGACTCAGACTACAAATTCTGTAAAATCCATACAGATTCTCTTCGAGCTCTTGGACTTAAAGTACCTAAACTCTTTTTTTGCTCCGTGAGACTGTGCTCGCTGGTGCGTTAAGTTAATCTTAACTTTAGCTAACATGCTCACAATTACAATGCCACCATGTTTATTTATCAAAGTCTGACAGTTCATTCTCTGTTGACCAATGATGTCTGTCGTAAATTTCCTCTTCCCAATTTTGACATTTAATGATAGATCATATGAATGTTGAGACAGATGAATGTATGCTGAGATCAGGTGGAAGAGGATGTGACGGTCTGGGTGGATGGACTGAAGGCCGGGCAGAGGGAGACTCAGGATGGGGGTTCCGTCTCAGGTGTATTTCTAACCGAGCTGATCTCGGCCCACGTGACGTCAAGAAAATATAGGTTTTGACAAGAAACTTGAAACATATCAATAGTAGTCTCGATATTAAGGAGTCTCGATAAAGGTATGAAAATCCATAGATATGAACAATCCCCCATCCCTAATAAAGACACTGGGCCTGTGGTTAGCGGTAGCTCTGCTCCACAGCTGTTAGACCAGCGGTTGGCAGCAGCAGACCTGCTAGAAAAACAGCAAGCAGGAGGGTCTGACCAAACTGGCAAGGTTAAACAGTCGCACACATTCCTGTGCCATCTTACGATGTGGTCTTTTTTGCTGAACAAAATCCAATTTTTGAAAGTGGATAATTCACATTGTACTTAAAAAGGAAATATAAATTATATTTTCATATTATTGAGTACCACAAAAAAAATCACAATTAGTTGTCAGTCTGAAAAGGTGGCCCTTCAAATTTCAGCAAGCTCCTCTACCTCTGGTGTTCAGTTATCATCAGATGTGTGTTTTCTCTTGGGTTGCCTAAGCATTTTCCAAATTGACCAATCACGGCCTCTCCTCCCCAAAGAAACTAGGTAATGTATTTTCCTGTTTAGAGCTAGACAGGTTTCTTTATCTTTTGGGTAAATGACTTGACGCCCCTCTCTGTCTTTTCTTTTGGTTTTTCTCTTTCTCTCTCTCCCTCTTACTCTGCCTTCCTCTTCTTCGTATTTCCCCTGTGCATGCTCTATCCTTCATCTTGTCGCTCACTCTCTCGGTCACCATTGCCCTCTTGTCCATCCTTTGCTTTTCTCAGTTCATCCGTCTGTCAGAATTTTTTAAAGATTTCTCTTGTTGCCCTTATCTATCTCCATCACTGTGCCCGCTCCGCCTCTTCCCCACTTGCTTTCTCTCACAGATCCACCTTCATCTGTCCTCTTCTCTCCTCATGGCCCTCGCTTTCCCTCTCTCAAGTGACTAGCCACATGCTAATGTGTTTTGTACATAGCTCACAGTGACAGAGAGAGGCCATTAGAGAGGGTTCTGTCTGCCAACAATGGCATCGCATACAGGGCGTCCAGGACAGTGCCAATGCTGGGGTTAGAAATGATCAGCATTTACTCGTTTGTGTTTGTGTGTCTATATATAATGTATATTTTCTTTTCATTTTTCTTTTCTGCTATGTACAACATTTTTTTACATGTTGACAGTTTGTGTGTGTGTCGAATTTCCTGTGTGTGCGTCTGTGTTCTTGCTAGCGTTAATAATGCAGCGCTGTTGATCACAGTGAATGATTGATGACAGCTAGGTCATGGATAAAGCTTACCCGGGCTCACAGAGGAAAGGATAAAAACCGACCCTGGCAGCATCACGCCACATCAATGAGCCCAAGCTGTGTGTACAACCAGCACACTGTCTCTGAAACAGAAAGCCATTTATATATTTATATATTCACCACAGTTTGTTGTCACTTTATTTTACATGCACTTTTAAAAAAAATATGTTTTCAACTTGTTTGCCCTTTGTCATTTCTGCACAGATAAGTGCTAAGTATCGAAACATACATCTGGCTTTAGGCTTTAATCAATACATGTGATGTGACATGATGCCTTTATTGATCCCTCCTGAGAGCATATTTCCTCTTTTCAGCCTATTCACACAGGCCACAGGGCACTAAGATAGGAAGCGACTTTGCAGCAGGCTTGTTGAAGTGTCACAAAACGTGAAATATCTGTGGGAATAGGATTTTGGCATCCTCTGCGCAGAGTATTTCCCTCGTCTACTGAGTTGCATGCAGTGGGTGGGTAACTATGATAATGCTTGACGTCATCAAACTAAAGGTGTGATATCCTACAAATAAATCCGTGCTTGTAGGAGAGAACACCATGTGGACAAGGTCGATTACAATCTAATGATAGCTGCTGCAAATAGACTGGGTATTGAGGAGTCTACAGACAGCTGCACCTATATCTTCATGTAAGCGAGCCTGTGTATTGCACGCACCTTAACCTTACCAAATTTCACCCTTTCAATACCCATGCATCTCTTTATTCTGCAGCAGCAGCCAGTGTTCTGCAGAAAGCTGCACCAAAGACGTGTGCTCGTACACATCTATGTCTCCTCTCTTCCTCTCGGGTGCAGGCAGCAGTGAGAGCGCTTGGCAGGGATGAGATGTGAAGTGACGGTCGACTCTTGCTATGGAACAGACATTTCAACCTCCACACAGCTTAGGGGAAGAGAGAGGCCTGCCTTTCCCCCATTTACACAATATGCTTCCCTTTTTTTTTGACAGTTTCCTGTTGGTCTATTTGCTGATTTGTTGGTGTAGTTTATTTAACAAAGTGTTATTAGCTTCATTTAGTAAATAGTGTATTGGTTGGGAACATAATAGCTCCAATGAGCTTCTATTCATATTCATAAACCTCCAAAGTAGCAAGACTCCGCCTGCTGATCTACAGCTGTTATCATCAGAGAATAGAAATGACTGATAAGTGTTGCCTGTGTGTTGTTTTTATTGAAGCCATCAGGTTCAACATCTCTTTTGTAAAAACTCAACTGAACATGCAGATGCTTTCAGAGGCTCAGAAGCATTTGTGCAACTGTGACCGCACTATCTGACTCAATGCCTCAGCTGTGCAATGCTCCCCGGGGGAAATATAAAGTATTTCTGATTTCACTTCCCCTCTAAAAGTATGAGCAACCTTCGAGATATCATTTTCCATTTTGACTCCCGTTAACTCTATCCTCTCCCTCTTTAGGTGTTCAACACCTACTCCAATGAGGACTACGACCGGCGAAATGAAGAGGTGGATCCAGTTGCCTCCTCCGCAGAGTACGAGCTGGAGAAGAGGGTGGAGAAACTGGAGCTGTTCCCTGTGGAGCTGGAGAAAGGTGAGAAAGAGAATCTTAGATTGTGGAGGTGGATCCTGTCAGTTACTTGTTATACCCAGTAGACAAAATCACCCACATGTGGGATGTCACTTTTTTTTTTCTAATTAAAGTGTGATATTTTTATTTTTCCTCTCTTTATCTAGGTTCTACCGCTGCCACTGTCCGTGTGTCTGTCCACTTTCCCACAGAATGACTTACACTTTTGATTCCAGCCTTAGCGTTAATGATAAAGCTTTCAAATTTTCAAAACCCTTATAAAATGTCTACTCTCTATGTCGTGTGTTACCGTTCAGCAGCTCACAGGAAATCTCCTCAGATCACATTTAAAGACATTCTTTGTTCCAATTCCCCAGCCTGAGCTACAATGAGGTGATATTTCATCTCCCTTCTTGTCTTTTTCCTGTCGAGGTTTTCCTCTGTTATAATCCATAACACCTAAAATAGAATGACTGTCAATGGTAGGATTTCACCATCCACTCCATGTTATGCAACCCTACCAACTCATGAATATTTAACTCTGGATGGAGATGGAGGAATGCAACACTAGAAGGGAATTTCCCATGATGTGAAGGGTGTCATACCAGTGTTTTCCCTACCATTATATTAGGGGGCGGCCCACCCCCCCAACAGCACCCCCCGCCCCCCTTGATGGTCAAGTTCATTTTATTTTCTATATAGCGCCAGATCACAACAGAAGTCATAAGGATACCTTCCTATAGAACAGGTCTATACCTTGTCCTTTTAATTAAACAAACTAAATAGCCTTATTGTTATTCATCTTATTTACATGACGGCATGTCATTTCTGTCTCTACATGGTCGCGCGTTTACAATTCTCCTTTGCTCTCTGTAACTTGCAAGGCGGAGTTTCGCCCCGATGCACATACATACACACACACACACAGACACTTGCGCGCACACACAGGTGAGCACACTCTCACCAGCGGAGGTCTGGGTGTGTGTGGTTGTGTCTGACGGACGCACACCCAATAATAAAAAGTCCGTAAGAAGCATCATAAAATAAGTAGTCTTCTTAGTTGACTCAGGACTTTTCTGGGCATGTCTCTCTCTCTGCCGTTACTCAGGGGATGCGCTGTTAGCATGCTGCATTCAGGGGTGCTCAGACAATGAGAGATGCATTCAGGTGCGCTCAGAAACGCAGGAAAACACCCCCCAGAGCTCTAAACCTAGGGGAAACACTGCATACCCAAGTAAATATCAACTCCTCTTCTTCATTAATAAATCAATTGTTTGAGGGTATTCGTCCATTGAACTCTCCATGAGTCCTAAAGTGGACTTGGCGTCGTTTTGGGTTTGATTTGAAAATTAAGAAATATGGGTCCTCAACAGTGCTTTAACGACTGTATGTGGTCTGTTTGTTTCCAGATGAGGACGGTCTGGGGATCAGCATCATCGGGATGGGTGTCGGTGCGGATGCTGGACTGGAGAAACTGGGAATCTTCGTCAAGACTGTCATCGAGGGAGGAGCTGCAGAGAGGGACAGCAGGTGAGAGTTGCTCTCCTTTACATCATATTCACAAGGCGGCCATTTTTGACTGATACCAGGGTGGGAGGCTGAAACATGCTACTATAATGTTGCACTGATGTATGCTAGGTTAGAAAACTGTAGGAAACTGACAACTTGTTTTCCCCTTTTACCTTTTCTACAATGATAAAACACTAAAAGACAAGAGGAAGTTAAATCATGTCGGGACATTGGGCAATATTTTAAGATTAAGAACATATTTAACAACCCATTAGCCAACAAAAACTAACATTAGCATTCAATAAACTACATTAACATTACCATTTGCTAGCTAACGTTATCATTAACATGTAAATATACACCGCTCCTATATACAGTAACACTGTTAAACAGTAATGTTTGTTAGGAACGGGTTGAATGCTAGTGTTAGCGGTTGTTTTATGCTAGCTATTGTGTGTTCAAATAAATTGTTATTGTTAGAAATTAGCTTGAATTTTTAGTGATAGCTTGAATGTTATACAATTTGAAAACCTGGAAGGCAGCGTTCCAACATTCCCACAGCTTCCACCCTGGGTGTTTGGTCCAAGGAAAATGGCTGCTGGAGATCATTTTGGATTTAGGTGCCGTTGAGCCTGTAAAGACATCAGAGGAGAAAAAAATGCAGTATATCCCAGCAAGGGCTGAAGGGAAAAAAAGAGTGATTAGTCACCTATGAAACAAAATAACAAATAGCAATTAATCAGCAATTTTGTTTCCACTTTTCCATCACCACCTTCTCTCCCACACACACACACACACACACACACACACACTAACACTAACACTCTGTCCCTGTCAGATTTAGCAGCAGGGTTTTGGATTAAATCCTCCGGGAGAGGCGCAGTATGGGGCATGAGGCCTCACAGTGAAATGTACTGTGTGAAGGTGTGTGTGCTGTGTAGGTATTGTGTGACAGAGACATTGCATTAGCGTGTTTTATCTCTTAACTATTTCGTTTCACTTTGCAGAAGTTCGGCTGCAGAAAATGGAAAACTGCTTCTGTGTTCATGGCATGTCTCCGTCTTTGTCCCTGGTCGTCTGTGTGTGTTGCCGGGATGAGGAATCTGTGTTTGTGGTGTGTGTCTTTGTGCATTATATTATAAGCGTGAACAGTGCAGAGTAAGCACTCAGTCAGGGGTGGAGGAGGAGACGACAGCTTCCCAGCAGGCGAGCTGTGTTGTTCTGTCTCTAAACCAGCCGCTTTTTCCTGTGGCTGTATGTGTGTGGTTCAGTTCCCCCTAAACAGATTAAAAAACGATAAGCACTTCCATCAAACGCATTATGAGGGTATGAGGTACTGTGAGCTCTATGTACACACTGGGAACTCTAGTGCACCAGGGTTGCTTGTGGTAGTTTTTTTTTTCTACCTAGGATTTTTTTTTTTTTAACTTTTTTTTTTACATAGCAGCCAGAAGCACATGAGAGAGAATAGTTGAAGTGTAGCAGGCGAACAGATGAGGGAGTGGAGTGAGAGACACAGCTTGTTCAAAAGTGACAAAGGTTGATCCTGTTCTAAGATGACAGACACACTGACTATAAAACTATTCAGTTCAGTTCATTTCTGAGTCTCACGAGTTGAACTTTCTTTTCAGTGATTTAAACTAAAGTTAGACTGGTTCTCACTCCTCCACAGTCTATCCAGTGCAGTGTTTTCTTAGTCATTGTTATAGAGGCAGCGTGTGAATGTGTATGATTGTGGTTAGTTAATACTGAAGGTTACATTACAGCCTCTGCCACAAGTGTGTGAAACGGTGAATTGTGACGTGTAGTGTAAAGAGGCCAAGGGACTGCAGATGTAAATGAGCTCTAAACTAAATCTGGTACAATGCTTTCAAGGCTAAATTTATGGTACAATACAATACATTAAATTCAACTAAATGATCAGTGTAACCAATATGGTAACACAATGTTTTGAATGATCTGAAAATAGAAAAGTACAAGTTCATTGACCTCACATCAAACAGAGAATATGCAGGGTATGGTTGGTTGGTTGGATAAATGATGAGCCTGGATCTTTACATCAGTGTTACTGAGCTAGTTTATGAAGAGCTGCAGTTGCAGAGGCGAAACATCTATCAAAACAAACTTAACAGTTTTGAAGTGTTTACAACTTTGCAAAGTGAGCTCGATACTGCGAAGGATAAAACATTCAAATCCTTCTCATTTAGTCATCCCCTTGTCGCTCTAAGTTGCTCCATTAACATTTCACTCAGTCTCAACTTTGATCCCATTTGCTGCTGACCTTCTTTCTGTAAACAGGGCAAGACGGCCGCATTTGTTTTCAAAATGTTTTGATGGTGTTGTTAGGTTTGCCGTGTTTAAGTGCCTCTAGAACTCTAGCTGGTGGAAAAAGAAGCATCCTTCTCTGTGAATCCACAGCTCAGCCTTCAGTGCACCTTTTGTTAGTCTTGATCACAACATGAGAGAAATGAACTGAAGACATTAGAAATAAGGTATCAACACTGGATCACTTGTGCTAAATTCACACAGACACACACACACACACACACACACACACACACACACACACACACACAGATAAATGAGCTTGGCTGTGGATCACTGTATTGTCTGGATCAGATGACCCTAGGTGTTTGTGTAATGGGATGAGATGTTATTGGGAGAGCATTAGATGAGGGTGTGTTTGTGTGGTTTTGGTTTATTTGTATGAACTGTTTTCTTTCTTATTGTTTTTTTTTTTTCTAATGCCTTTGCGTACTGTAAGTCCAACAGTGTTAGCGACAAAGAGACAAGCCTGACTGATAGACAACCACCTCTGTCTTCTTCTCAGGCTGATGTGTCTTTCTGTTGTGAAATTCTGATGCATTTTTAATGAGTTTTTGCCAGTATGGAAATGTAGATATGTAGCATATGTATTTTTCTCCATTTGAATGTTTTTTTTAGAAATGTTTTGGAATTGTATATACTCTATAAATCCCTGAGGGAAATTCTGGTTTTCAGCTCTGTTTTTGACAGACATGCTTCTCACACACATTGGCCCAAAACACACACATGTGGAAATGCATTAGTGGAGAGATGTTAGAGTGGGTCTGCTACACACTGCTATCCAGGGTTGGGGGGGGGCTTGCTCTAGGGCACTACGGCAGTGCTCAGGAAGTGCCCTGGCACCTCTCCAGCTACCAGACCAACTTCCATTTTATGGTTTGCATCTGGAGTTGAATCAGTGACCCTCTGGTTCCCAACCCAGATCCCTACGGACTGAGCCCCCAAATATAGGAAATATCAATGCACTAAAGGATATCTCATCCTTTTGTGCACTGAATGTGTTCACCCTTTCATTCAGTTGTCTCTTATGAACACTCAAGTTTCCTGAAAAGCACTTTTTCATAACAACCGTCCCTAAAATATGTTGAAATGAAATCCCTGTCTTATGATGTGATTTAGGGAAATTGGGCCCTTCAAGCCCAGGGAAATTTTCCATCCAAATCAAGAAAGAAAAAATCTTTTCATCAGTCGACAAGAACATGTTTCTCAAATTTCAGCATTTATTAACATTTGTAACAAATACTATCGAGTCATTAGGCAGATTTTGATTTGCTAAGGGGGTTCAGCAGTAATAGAAGTCATTATGTTGTATGTTTAGTAAAAGAAAGCTTACTTTTCTATGTTAAAAACCCTCCTGAAAGAGTAACTCATCACCCTCTCAATTTTTCTAAAGATCATCACTCTTCAGTCCTCCGAGTCGATTAGTTATGATGGTTTAATTGGACTATTTAATATAATCAAAAGAGTGATCATTGAAAAAGGTGGTGTATTTATGGTCTGTATTCACTGATATCAAAGAGCTTAGATGGCTTTTGGCATGTTAATATTGATTTGAAGGACTTGTGTAAGAAGATTTAGTGTGGAGACCTAAGTGGCTTGTTGTAGATGACAGTGATGAATGTGTTGTGTCTTAAAAGAGTGAATTATTAAAACAATACTGTGTTTCTTTGAAAAATAATGAGAGCTAGTTTGTGATTTATTCCCATGTCAAAGAAATTACGCTAAACTAAGATTAGTTATTTGTCATTGCTGGTTTTTATATGCAGATTGCGAAGGTTTTTTTTTTTTTTTTAGCTGAATATTTAGAACTTCTAATTTTGTCCTTTGCACACAACCCTCCAGTCATGAATGTTGGATCATCAAGAGTTTAATTTCAGGTCAAGAACTATAGCTGACCTCTCAATGAGTCTGGAGCAGAGAATAAAAAGCCGTCTGTGCTCCTCATTAGCCCTCCGAGTTTGTTTGGAGACTCATCTTTTCTGTCCCCCGGTTAGGCAACAGTCTGGGACTCTCGCACAGGGAATGTGTTGCGACACGACTGTCTGGAACTGTTGTCATTTTGAAGATAATGTGAATATACATGATAGGGCAGTTTATTTGTGCCTCTTGTAGTAGTTTTGCTGCATAAATTGTGATGAAATTTCCACATTTATTTCTGTTGACTCATCAGTTTGTAATTGGGACATAGTGTGTTTGTTACATTGCAATACATGAAGAAAAAGAAACCAGAATTACTAATTCACCACATAAAGTGTAGAAACAAAGGATTGCTGTACAAAGTGTTGACTGTTGTTCCTGTGTGTAGGATCAAGGTGAACGACCAGATCGTGGAGGTGGATGGGACCAGTTTGGTGGGCGTCACACAGAGCTTTGCTGCCTCCGTTCTCAGAAACACCTCAGGAGTGGTCAGGTAAGACCTGCAAACAGCAAAGAAGTTAACTTTGCCTCAAGAGATGTCAAGAACGAGGGGGATTACAATAAACAAAAGTGTGGATTTGACCTCGCCATCAAATTAAGCTGCAATGCTTGACCAAATGTATTTTCTTTAATTATATACACACATCAGATTTGCATTTGTTTCTTCCACTGATGAGGCTCTTTGGATTATAAGATTACAGGAACCAAAGTGTGTCAAGCAGCTATCAGACCCAAGGACCAGACTGCCATCATGTATCATACAGAATTACCAACCAACCAAAGTCAGTAGAATATGTTGTTTATATTCAGCGATGATAATGAGTATAATCCTGAATGTTGGTGGTTCTGTTTTCATAGTGTAAAAAGCACCAAAAAGCATCAAATTAAAGCAGCCAGGCTCTGTGATTGTTTTATTTTGACAGCTTCATTAGCATATCTCATTTAAAGGAGGTGAAGACTTGGGAACACAATATGTGGTAAAAGTCTTGTGTGTTTGATGGTCGATCAGTTTTTTGGCAGGGCTCCATAAAGAGCAGGGGGGAGCAGACAGCGCACACACACACGCACACACACACATGCACACACACACACACACACACACACACACAAAGCCTGCTATCCTTGGCATCACTGCGATGCTACTATCTCAGGTTTCTGCACTTTCTCGTCTTTCCTTTTTCTCCTGGTTTGTTTGTTGCTTCTTCCTTCATCTCAAATTCTGTTTGACAACTCTTTATCCATGCAATCCAATCCACTATATGTATATAAGCACTCTTTTTCCCAACTAAAAAGTTTACCATAGTGCAGCACAAATCATTAAAATAGCAAACATTTTAACACTGAAATGTATAAACCCATAAAAATCAAGAAAAATGTTGAATACATCAGAAAACATTATGTTATGAAGCCCATCTTATGTACAGAGGCTGAAGTGGGTTCAAATCTGACCTCAGCCCCTTGCTGCATATCATCCCTCTCTCTCTCCTCCGAACATTTCCCGTCTCTTTTCAGCGGTCCTGTCCAATAAAGGCAAAATGGTCACAACAAAATCTTAACATGATAAAAAAATGGTAAAACCCATAAAAATAGGCTTAATTAGAAAATAAAAATCACTGAAAGACAGCCGACACACAGTTTACAGCTTTTGTAAAACCTTGTTAACCCTTTTTACGCTTCTTTTCAGCTCATTGACCCATCAGTCTAGACAAACTATGATGGAGCAGCTGTTATGGGGTGTTTAACAATCCATGGCCTTAGTGTGGTTTTCAGCCTCATCCTATTCTGGTGCACACCTCCTCTGTGGGGACTCAGCTGTGGAGAGATAGATGTTAGATAGATAGTGTGTGCGAAAGAGAAGCTGGTGGCTGAACAAAAGCACGTCTAACAGTATCAAAGCAGGCTGTCCGCTGAACAGATGCTGTTTGCTGAACTAATATTGACAGTGAGGGTTTTCCACATACCAGGATGTGGCACTGTAGGTGAGGCAGCCTTGAAACTTTTCCATCCATCACCTGTCTTTCTATCTAGGAAGTTGATAAGTATCCATGTTCATAAAGTCACATCTAATCTGCCTATTAAAGATTTGGAATAAAAATGTAAAATATATAAAATACTTAAATCTACTGCACAAAATAAAAAGCACTGTAACAACGTCAAAGCAGGCTGTAACAGAATTGTCAGACCTACTTTCTCTCTTCTCTCCTCCTCTCTTGTCTCTCACTATTTTCGTCTTTCTTCATCATGTCTCACCCACTCACTCCTCGTCTTCCTCCTCCTCCTCCTTGGTAAATCCTTCCCTCTCTCCATCTGATCACCAGAGATTTTATGGCCAACTGTCCTAGAAAAGCCATTTTCTCTATATTTAACCCTGACTTCAGCAAAGCAGCAAATCATCCAGGTGTCAGTCAGAAGACCCCTCCTGACAGTGTCGTTTTGTAAAGAATACTCAAGAGGCCTTTTCATGGATTACCTCTGTGAAAATTTGGGCCGTTACATTATTTGAAAAATAAAATGAACTGCTTTGTCTTACTTTTTTAAAACAGCTTCTTAGTTTAAACATCTGAATATCTATAAATATGAACAGCACATCTGTGCTGACTTCTTTTACAAAAAACTTAAAAGTCCATTTTTTATATTCTTTGAGAGACAATTATGCAAAAAAACATTCCTCCATTGATTTGCTTTGAGTGATAAAGTTAGCAATTTTTCAACATTTAGTTTGTTGTCTGCTTTATTGTGCCGTTAAAGGGCAAAACTACTAATTCATCTTAACCTTACTGCTAAGACTTTCCCCTAGAAACAAATCTGTATTTTTTTGTACCACATCTAGAGCTAAAAAAAAATCACAAAACCAAACTGTTTCTTCATTATTATGGAGATGGACACTGACTTTCTTTTAGGGCCGTCCTCTTTTAAAAATATTCAGTTGCACATTAAAATGTGTATAAATTCCCCGTTTGAAATAGTACCCAACAGAAGCAATATTTAGTCCTTCCTGGGTAACATTTTCTATAACCTATACTGTGTCCAGCTTCCGGATAAATATGTGTTTATTTTTGCCAAAGACAAACTTTATTTTGAAGGCCTGTTTGTATGGCTATTGTGGAACAAATGGGCTTGTACATGAATGCCAGATAAAGGGAAGTCAGGAAATAATGACTCAAGGTCTTTCACTAAAAAATAAGTCACTTTAAAACCAAGTTGTTTAAACAAAGTATTTGTAAATCATGCAACATGCCTCCATTGTTCAGAAGGGAAGTAAAAGTCTGACAAAAATCAGAACTCCTGACCTGACCCTAAGTATAATACACGGCTCCATCATGGTCGACCAGTCATGTCTGTAATGTGTGAACTCTTGCTGACATCCTTAAATGCCCTGTCAACCCACTGCTTCCTAATTGGGCAGACACGTGTCCTGTAGCAATCTCCCGACATCCTTTACACCATTTCTCCTTTAAGCACTTCAGCTTTATTTTGAAATCGTCTGGCAAAAGTAAAACAAAAAGCTTTTCCCCTTCAAATTCCTGCACCATGCTGTATATTTAACAGAAGCATTGCTGCTATAAATGGGAGTAAATGAGTTCAGAAGTGAAGGTTCCTGCAGTTGAATTGAAGCCGCGCTGTGTGTGGCAGCCTCAGGACAGCAGGAGGTGAGGAGGAACCAAGCCCGAGTCCCTCTGCGTGAGGAGGAAGGCTGTTTCCAGGTCAGCTCCTCCTCAGACCTCCCCGCTGTCCGAACGCTCGATACAGTTCACTACTTAGCTCAGACAGGGCCTTCCCTCTTTCTTTCTTTTTTTTCTCTCTCTGTCCTGCCCTTCAGTTGTTCCTTCACATGTAGATCAAATCCCTCCTCTCTGCTGGAGCGTAAGGCCCTTTTCTACATCGCCTTTGGAAATATCAGGAACTGAATCCATGTGATAAGCCACAATACCTCAAATCTACTCTCTCTCTCTCTCTCTCTCTCTCTCTGTCTCTGTCCCTCGTTCTCTCAGCTTCCCTCTTTCCCTTTTATACACTCTCATACATAAACAGTAGACAGGAAGATGCTCACATACACACACATGCAGTCAGAGGGCCCCATGCTGGGCTGGAGATCGGAGAAAAGGTCAGAGAAAATCTCATACAGCGTTGTTTGGTTTGGTTGCGTTGTTGTCTTGAAAAGAAAAAGAAAATAGAGAAGATTTGATGGATTTTATTGAATATTTCCAGCCAAGTAACACTGGAAAGAGTAGTATGTAACGTTGTGTTTATTTTTGTCTTGTGTTCCTAAATTAAATATATCTTTGTCCTCATCATAAGACTAAAAAAATACAATCTTTGAAAAAAAGGGACAGACCTGAATTTGAAGGAGGGATTGCAAGTTTTTCACTTCTTCTTACATCATCCTATTCCCGTTCTCCTATATATTCTGACCATGTCCACCTTTTTAATGTTATATTGATTTGATATAAACTATTCACAGGATAGCTTCAGTAGCTAGTTCTGTGTAACTCAGAGGCAAACCTTGCTTTCTCCTTTCTATTCCCGACCAGCCTAATATCAGGCTGCCTGGCCGAGCAGACTGTCTGCTCACATTATTATGTTCGTCCCTTCTCCCAGCCCTGCCCTGCCCTCATACCTCAGCAGATAATATTCTTGTCATTGCTCTGTGGCTGTGGGCCTTCTCTGCTCTCACACAGTCACTGCTGTGGTCATTTCACTGCACAAATACACACCCATACGAGAGGGAGAGACAAGAAATGAAAAAAGTCAATTTACATGTTTATGTAACCGTTAAAAAGAGACTCTCAGGTAGGAGGAGCATGCCCAGGGAAATTAAAAAAAAAAAAAAAAAGGGGTAGATCGTTTTCATATATTTAAAGGTGGTGTCATCACCATTTTAAACCTGTGTAGTACATCAGATAATTAATAGTTACCATTAAAGAAAGCAGAGACAAAATGTATACCCTTTGAAAGATATAAATATATTTTCATACAATAATCTAACCTTGTTTCCCACAAGGCATTTTACTTCCTATTTCCCAGGATGCTGTAAACTGTCACCGGGCGGTATTTGTTTGAGGAATGTTTTTGACATTGCATGTTGTTACAGGTTTGTGATTGGCCGCGAGCGTCCGGGCCAGCAGAGCGAGGTGGCCACACTCATCCAGCAGACCCTGGAACAGGAGAGGAGACAGAGAGAGCTGCTAGAGCAACAGTACGCCACTATGACGCTGACGATGACGAGGTACTGACCACACTCACCGCCCTGGCCACTGTGCAGGAGGCTATATAGTCCGAGAAATTGTGCAAGAGAGAAAATGTGCGAAATGGAGTTTTAGTCCCTCATAGTGTGGTTTATAAAATATTGAATACATCTAATTAGGGTAATATGTCACCCCTTAAGAACAGGAGTAATATATGAAACTAATAGAGATCATAATAATTGCTTTAGTACGCACACTTCTCATACGTGACACTTTATTGGAAAATAAGGCTTCAAGTTGTCGTCTCAATGTAAATGAGCTTCCTTCTCATGACAGCTGACTGCAATTTATAGCTTATTACTCCATAAAACTGACTGACAGGAGGCTTTTATGCTGACAGACACACACACACACACACACACACACACACACTTTCTCTCTCTGTCACACAAACAAACACACACACACTTTCTCCCTCTGTCACACAAACAAACAAACAAACACACACACACACACACACACACACACACACACACACACACACACACACACATGCACACACACACTTTCTCCCTCTGTCATGCACACACACACACACACACACACACACACACACACACACACACACACACACAGACTGAGAGCATGCCATGTGAGCTTTGCTCCTGGAAAGCATCATTCAGCGTTTCCCCCTCTGATTCGGCTGCTTACTCACAGCGCGTTTAATCCTGCACACACTGAGCTCATGGCCCTGCAACTCCTGCTTTACAAGTGTGTGTGTGTGTGTGTGTGTATGTGTGTATGTGTGTGTGTGTGTGTGTGTGTGTGTGTGTGGCTGTGTGTCTGTATGTATGTGGGTGTGTGTGTGTGGGTGTGCCCTATACAAACTTACACTATATATACACATGAAATAACACACTGTAGTACTGTAAATCAATGCAATTTCTTTTCCTCACACACAGGGATAGCTGCACTCATGCATGGATTTACATGCACACATACTCAGGCTCTCTCTCTCTCTCTCTCTCTCTCTCTCTCTCGCTGTAATGTTTGAAATCTATTATGTACTTTCGGATGTTGGATCCAGAGAATTCATACATAAGAAACTCCTCACAAAGCCCCAGAAGCCGATCCCAGTTGTTCCTTAATCACATCCACATACACATGTAACACTGTCAGCTCCTTTTAAAGCTCCGACACAGAATTGAGGCTTCATTTCTGACTCTGTAACACACAAAAATCTGATTTGTTTTTCTGTTGCCTGACATTATTTCATATCCAGGGAATGATGTGGTAATCTAAAGAAATGTAGGAGGACAACTCAAGGCTTTTGATTTATTTAAACCGTGCGCCAAATCCCTGGAAGGTCACATAAACATGAGAATGGAGGTTGTCGTGAAATTGTTAATCCATACATAGATTACAAACAGCTGTAAAAACACACTTGAAATCTGCGTAGTGAAGCACAAAACCATCCATAACACCCCACGTAACTGCCAACACGGTAAACAGTTACAAAACCATTACAGAGATCTATGGGGCAATAAAAGAAGCTCATCAATATTAATAATTCTATAAATATTAGAACGAGTTCTCACCGGGTGGGCGGGGGGTTGGGGGGTTGTTTCTCACTCTGAGGGCTGCCACTGTAGATGTGACAGACAGCTCTTTATCAGTGCTGAGGCTGCTGTCCCAAGAGGGAGGGGATGCTCCTTCAGTTAGCAAAAGACGTCAAACACACACACATCAGTCCATTTGTGTGTTCGCTTAATCAGTTAAATGAGAACACACACACACACACGTACAACATCTTTAAGTGTTATGATTTCCTTATTCACTTAAAGCTGTTCACAATGACACCAGCTATTTTAAAAATGATGTGAATGTGAGAACAGAATAAAATGCCACTTGTTCAACTTAAATCAACAATTAACGGAAATAAGATATAAGCTCTCACGTCAGCAACATCATAGAGACATGTATGTATGTGAACACACATGTTTGGGTCAGGTGTTAGAAAGATTTACATTTCTCTGCATGGTTGCGCACCATTTCAATCCATGATGTTGATAAATTGCTAAATGCTTAATCTTGGTTTTGGTTGATGTCATGCATTTTAATGCACTACTTATAGAGGGAATTCTGATTTACTGAGTGACCAGTCAGACACATGAGAACGTTTATAAGTTGAGTTTCACACTAATGACATGGACCTTGATGCAAACAGCACATACATTTTGCAACCTGCTAATTATGGTAGCTCCCAGATCACATGTAGATTTACAACAGAGTTATTATTATACTAGATTAAAGTAAAATTCACAAAAGTGTTTTATGCAACTTTGAATCTCAGCACATTTTCTTTTATAAGTTGGTCATTTAAACAGAGCCATGTAGGAGCACCTGCATGGCAGGCTTTTCCATTTAGGCAAAACAAGGCTCAAGTGGCCTCTAAAGTGTTTGCTTGCTCCTTTTTGACAGGAGCTCAGTTTTCTGCAGAGGCTTCTTCTGCCCCAAAAACAAACAAATAAGATTATTTAAATTCATAAAAAAAACAGCAAATAAAGCTGTTACTATCTGTTAATCACTGTTTCTCTTAACCTGAGCTCCGCAGACACAGGGATTTAGGAGATGCTCCTAGGTTTTAGGTTTGCTTCTGTTTTAGTGTTCCTCGTAAATGGTTCGCGATGGGAGCAGCAGAAGTTTCCTTCTAGAAACGTACTGATTTCATATTTTTAAAACCAGTATAAACACAGAACAAAGGCCGTTTCAGTTATTTTCTTAAATCAGTGTGTGTCCCGTGCTCTTCTGCAGGGCTTCAGGGCCCAGGGGCTCGGTGCTGTGACGCTCACTGGCCAACTTAAATCCTTCATCCAAAGAGATACACTTTAAACAAATACTGTAATGTGATCAATTAGTAAGTATTAGAGAAGAAATTCAAATTAAAAAGGTAAAATTGATGTTCTGTTGGTAGATGGACTATGAAAAACTAATAAACAAAACTGTAATGTTGGCTGTAATTCGGGTGCTGAACAGAAAAAAAGTAAGAAATGATCCAGGACTAAATACAATTTGACTTCAGAGTGAGGAACAGCCCTGAAAACATCAAGTCATATGCTCCTGTCCAAGGAGAAGTCCTCTCCTCTATAGCATGATGCTCATATGAGACATTCACCATGCAGATCATCATACGATGCGCCCTCTAAACAACAACAAGATTTCAACCTAAACTGTCCCTTCCTCTCCTGACTCTTCTTGCATGCTGACAGAGGAGATGCATTCATCACATGCAAATTGATGTTTGACTGCCCTCCCATGCGCTCAATTTTTAACTCCACCTTCAGAAAATAGGCCTTAATGTAGGATGCTGGTACCATGGCAACAAGCAAGCCTATTATGCAAATGGCACTGTGTGTCGGCTATGCATGCAGACAAATCTGGCCTGAGAACTGTTATCTGTGTTCAGAGATAGATGGAGGGAAGTGAAGGGGAAGAGATGAGTCAAAGATATGAGCCGAGATGATTAGGGAGGGGAGATAGGTGTGTGTGTGTGTGTGTGTGTGTGCGTGCGTGCGTGTATGTGTGTGTGTGTGTGTGCATATGTGAGAAGTGTTTGACGAATCAAGATAGAAAGACAAGTAACTATGAAAAGATGATGTAAAAGAAAGAAAGTAATGTGATAGAATTTGCATATAATAATGATAATTATCATCTGTGCAAAACAATTTAATTATATTTGTCTTAAATTCATATTCACATGTAGTATTACTACTGTATACTGCCATTTCCATAAGGAGCTTGATATCAACAACTTGGACTAACAGATGGGAAGAGAGAAAGTGGGATGTGATGTGATTGTTGCGTGATGTTGACAGCGAGGCAGAGAAGCTCTTCTGGAAATATCAGGCCTTGTTGGTCGACAGCCAAACACTGAATCAACCGATCCATTTTTATCCGATTCCCTAATGGCCGAAGCCAACAATCATTATGCTGTATTTCCAGATTGGAGAAATGAAAAACTGCCAAGCATACATGAAGCATCATGACCTACATTAATGTCAAGCTGGAAAATATTCAATGGTTCAATCCTGTTAAAGCTGGAATACATTCTTGTTGTTGACTTCTATTAGTCCAGCATTTTTGTGATGAATCCTAGATTTCAAATTTGGAAAACAAGCTCCAATACAGTCAGGATCACAGGCTTAAACATGAGCGGAAACCTCCTTACACTTGAGGCAAGATGGTGAGATGTTTAAAAAGAATCAAAAGTGACAGTCAAATTTGGCAAGTACCACTTCTTCTTCTGGCTTATCTTTTATAGAAACAACACTCGTGGCTGACCGGGCTGTCGAACCGATTTGTCCATGTCAAAGTTTTAACTACTAAATGGGTTGCCCTGCCTCTTATATAACTGGGAGCATTAAAACAGCATTATTTATGTCAAATTGAAGCGAACAAAAGAGGAGGATCATGAGTGAAATGGAGGTTTGTGGTCACTCTTAACATGCGATGAGCAGCAGATAGAGCTACATGATGTACTGTGACTTAGCTGTGAGGGAGCGAGGGGAGACAGATGAGAGAAGACGGAGGGAGAAACAACAAACGCATGCTCATGTGTGACAGCTGGATACCTGTTGCCTCCTTATTCAAGTACATTTTTATTTATGTAGCACAAAATCATAAATCACAGTTTGCTCCAGGGGTCTATAGACAAGTATAGCATCTGTCTTTAGACCAGGAGGAGGAAGGATTCAACATAAACAAAATCCTGAACATGGAAAAACAGCAACAGAGGATGCATCTCTATCTGAGGATGGATAAAATGTGCAAAAGAAGCTGTGCGTTCAGAAGATAAGCCACATAAACACATTTGAGCTCCACTACAGTAGCTGTTCTGTTGGATCAGACAACGCGGACCAGCTTTCACTCCCCACGCGCATCAATAAGCTTTGGCAGCTAATGGCCGTGTCACCGGTCCACAGGTTTTCCTTCCTTGGACCACTTTTGGTAGGTACTGAACTCTAGAGCTGCAGCTTCTGAGACGCTCCGACCCGGCCGTCCATCCATCACAATTTAGCCTTTTATCAAAGTCGCTCACTTCCTTATAGTCACCAATTTGTCCAGCTTTTAACACATCCACTTCAAGGACAACATATTCACTAGCTGCCTTTCATATCCCGCACAATGACACCTGCCATTGTAAGGAGACCATCAATGTGATTCACTTCACTTGTCAGTGGTCATAATGTTGCTCTTGACATACTCTTACAGCTCACTTCCTCTTTTAATCCAAAAACACAAGAAGACATTTCCATAATACTGTGAGAGTTATACTTTTATGAGTCATGCACAACTGGAAAAGACAACCCATAAGCATTGACAAAGCAGCACAACTCGACAAAGCATTTGGTCAATATCTGGATTATTGGAATGTGTTTATTGAATGATGCTTTTCTAAAACTGAAGCTTGGTTAATGGTTTTAATGGCTTCTGTCAGAAATAATAAGTGCCTCCAGCAGATATTATTGGCCAGCTGGTGGGTAGTAAATTAATTATCTCTTGTGTTTTAAAGTGATCTAATATGCATTTCATGGCTTTATGCACGTAGCCAAAACATACAAGATAAAGTTTGAGTTTTGATAACTCTTGATCTCTCGCTAAAGGTTGTTTAGCAATTGAAGACTTCCTGTTGTGATGAAGTGATTATTAAAAGTTTTTAGGCTTTTATAACTACCTGGATGAATAAACATTCCTTCTGCAAGGTAACATACGTAATGTTCAAGCCTTTTGGCACACGCTTTGACACGTTGTCTTATTAATGTGCTATTCGAGCCATTTGTACAACGCGAGCCTAAATTATTTCTTAAAAATCTAAACATTTATAATGGCATGAAGTGATCTGTCTTTATCATATTTTTGATAATGTTTTGCATGTTCTCCATAAAAATAGCAAGCACCAGTGTTATTTAAGGCTTCCTGGATTAGTGAAATACTGTTCTCCACTTGGCTAGCAGGATGGAGAAACAGGTTCTTCCTTACATGTGAACACTGTGCTGGTTTTATGGCGCATATACAGAAAAAACAACCACGTGACTGACTCTGTGTTTCCCCTCACAGCAGACTGGAGAGTACGCCACAGATGAAGAGGACGGGGGGACAACAGTGGCTGGCGGGGACAAGAGCATCGAGGTGTTTGATTTGCCAGAGTCAGAGGACATCTTGTCTCCCTCGGAGTTGGATGCCAATAAACTCTACCAGAAATTCAGAGAGGTAAAAACTCATTCACATCTACAGCTTTATTTCTCCTCATGAAAAACTCAATGTGAAGTAAGCACAAAGGATGGGAGCCTGGCACGTTTCTCTCTATCAGGGTTTTATTCTTTAGAAGAAGAAATATACCCAGCCACCTACGTCTAAAAATCAGTCACTAAAAAAAAAAAAAAAAAAAAAGTCCAAGTAATCAAACAACAAATGACACCAACACAATAGAGTCTGGCACACTCCCTCTTTACTATGCAGACTTTCATTCTTTTGTAGAGATCTAAGATCCGCTTACTCTCTTTAATTCCTAATCTGGATGATTAGAGGCACGAACACAAAGAGCCTTATGCTCATTTCATCTAGAATTACCCATGTTTGGTTAAAAAACCCCTCAGATGAGGAGAACCAGCTAACACTATAAAACCTGCATTTGAATCGATTTGTATTCCGATGTTGGCACCTCTTCACACAACCACCCTCCGAGAATAGAAACCCATTTTGTTGAACTTTTGCTACTGAACAAGTAAGCAAGGGAAAGAACAATAAAATGGATATTTAGTTCTTTGACTGTTCCTGCTTTTTTGGCTAGAAGTGAGAAATGTGCAAAATTGACTGAAACTGCAGAACTGAATTTGTGCACCTCAACACATTTCTGTAGACTGCCACAATGTGTGTTTGACACTTGTTCAGCTGCCCTGTAGACACCGCAGGGTAAGTGAAACTAAAATGTAATCCCTGTCTACAGGATGTATACGTTTGCTCCTTTTTTCCTCAGTTCCTCTGAGTCTTGACCTTTCCCTTCAATAGCGTCTTTGCTTGCTCACACCCGAGGAAAAAAGTGAACCCAGGCAGAAGGGAAATAAGCTTTTCTATCTTCCTAATGTCTTTCTGTAAAAAAAAAAAAAAAAGTTATTCCCCAACAGGCTGCTGTTCAAGTCCATTTACTCTTTGATGGTGTTTTCAAACATGTCTTGGAGAAATTATTAATGACTCAGTCTAGACACAGTGACGCAGTATTGACTGATAATCTAACCCTCAGGAATTGTATAACAAAAGCACAAAGCATCAGCATCATGACTTGAAATAAATACAGTTTGTTTTGTAAAGTGTTTTCTGGACATTTGAGAAAATGTCAACAATATCAGGAAAATCTGAATTGTAACTTTTAAGAGATGATGACTAGAAAGGCAAACAATACTAAATATACTCTGCTGAGTGTTGCGTAAATGTGATTCAAATAATGCCAGTGCATTTAGAAGATTCCTGTTTGTTATGATGGTGGAGCCTGAAGAGACATGGCCCACACTTTAGAGTCAGGAAGTTTCAATTTAGCATAAAGGCAGTGTTATTTCGTTATATAGTGAATACAGGATTTAAAGCTACTAGTTAATTTTGGTGCCCCCTGTGGACAAAGCAGGATATTTTTTTCTCTTTGCTAGTGTGGTCCTGTACATGTTTAAGTAGTGTTTTCTTCATATTCCTCTTTATTTAAATGTTCTACTTACCACTTAGAATTTAAAAGGACTCATTACTGCAGGATGCTTTTTATATCCTCCTCTGAAAAGCCTTCTGTGCTGGGGTGACAGGTGACATAACTTTATAGAAATAATTCATCTTCTTTGATGGGCTGGTTTAATGTTGTGGTACATATAGAGAAATCAGAATTCATTACAGTCTTTTTCATAACCAGTTAAAAAAACACATCAAAGCAGCTTGATTGGATTTAAAGAAAATGTTTTCAAGTTTTTATAAACCAACGCTTACATGTCCATATGTAGCCTACAGTTTACCTGATCAGTTTCAACTTATTGTCAATATTCCTTCAGTTCATACCAGACATTCAAGATGTGCTGCTTGTTTCAGTGGAGGCTGTTGTGGACTGTCGTTGATTTATGAACAACAACAAAACAACATTTTTTTCCATGTATTATGTGAACTCAGTCTGAGTAAGTTAGACACAGTTGGTATCTTCAAATGTTTCAGTCATTTTCAACCTCCTTCGGTTGTTTTCTCTTGTTTAATATATTAAAAATCCCATCTTGATTTTGGACTATTGAACTTGAACATGTTTAACTCATATTAACTTGAGCTAAGCCTTGGATTGTATTTTTTTAGACTGAACATCAGTTTTTCCTCCAACACTTACTTTGAAAATTAATTAGACAGGAACATATTTTTGAACTGAATATACACAATAGTTATTCTTTTAGGACCAAATACATTTTTTGTGAAACTATCCTTTGAGGTGACAAACATCCAGAAAATAATATATGGTAATATTATTGTTTTAATTCAAACTCTCAGCTCCCTGTGTTACACCTCTTCCTTTCTTTATTTCTGCCTCATTTGCTCCCATTTCCACTTCTCTTGTTTCATATCCATTTTTTTCTCTCCATCTTCATGCCATTAATCCTCTCCCACCCTGCCAAGATATCTTCTCATCTCAACTTCCTTGGATAAAACTTTGTCGCTCTTCCTCTATTTTCCAACTCGATCTATCAAAAATGTAACACTTTAGAACATAGACCATATTAGTTTATTTTTAGATTTGGTCTTGAAAGAAACAAAGACGTTTTTTTTTTTTTTTCATGTTTAACCCTTTCTTTAAAAGCATTTGAAAAAATATTGAGCCCTTTTCCTATTTCTGTCCATCTCGTGCCTTTCCCCGGCTCTCCTCTGGGAGTGTGTGTCAGAGCTGCAGCCGGGACGCTGTCAGGGGAGGACAGGGTCGACTGCCTCTGTCCGTCACGCTGTATCGACAGCGAAGAGAGCCTGCGCAGCCATGCATCTGATTATCTGACCGCCCTCTCTCTCTTCTCTCCCATCTTCTCTTTTTTTCCACCGCCTCTGCTCCCTACAGCTCCAGATCAAACACACAGTGACCGAGGCCGAGATCCAGAAGCTCAAAAACAAGGTAAGAGCTTAAAACTGTCAGTGTGTGGGCAGGTTTGTTGTGGAAGCAAATGGCAGAGGTTGGTTGGACTTCAAATTATTTGTTAATGGATGTGGGACTTAAGTAGTGTCAGGAGGACAGAAGAGCAGGACTTCATGTTTGCTAGGAAAGCTTTAGGAATATAGTCAAAAAAGAAAGAAAATGATAGCATCTATTACAGTTATTTTTCTTTTGCTTTTTAACGTAGAAATGTGTGAATGTTTATCTCGACACTTAGTGCTCCAAGATCCAACACAAATCAGGAACGCATCACTAGATCACTCTCGCAAGCATTAACCCCAGTACCAGTTTACAGAAACAGCTCTGGTCTGAGGTCGTTCTTTCATACAGACACTAAAATGTGGAATGATGTCCTACATTATATCAGGACACCAACTTCAGTTAGCAGGCATATAAAAACCACCTGATGCATGGACAAACCTGCAATCACTGATGTCACTAATGTATGTTCATTTCAGTTCCCCTCCCACTCCGATTGGCTCTGATTTGCTGTTAATTCTGATTGTTGGTTGTGTCTTTTGTCTGATGTGATCTGTGTTAGTTTTGTGCAGCAGAACAGGAACCTACTGTAAACTAGTTTTAACTGAGTCAGGCCCGTTTAACTTTAACGTTTGTAATGTGAATCTGAATGGTATAAATTTCCAAATGTATGTGCTGACCGTTAAGATTTAGTTATTAGTGGAACCTAGTAATCTTTTTTTTTCTTTTTAATAGAGAAGAATCAACCCTCTTTTACAACCAACATGCAGCTTGTGTCTGGGTTTATTTTTGTCTCGACTTGCTGAATATTTTATGACATCTTTTAACAAATATTTTCCAACTCTCTAAAGCAAATATATATCTACCAATGCTTTGTTTTTCCAAGTTTAACAGGGAAATCTGTTCAAAACAAAAAAAAAACATTTCCACTTACAGCTGGCTTCGGTGGAGAGGGAGAAGCAGCGCTGGGAGAAGGAAAAGAGTCAGCTGAAGGCCAGCATCGAGGAGAACAAGGAGAGGATGCTGAAGCTGGAGAGCTACTGGATCGAAGCGCAGACCCTCTGCCACACGGTCAACGAACACCTGAAGGAAGCCCAGGCACAGTACCAGACTCTGGAGAAGAAGTACAACAAAGCCAAGAAACTTATCAAAGACTTCCAGCAGAAGTGAGTGAGCAGGTTCAAACTGCAAATCCTGATCTGCGATTGGGGCGTGAGGGGAGGAATAGAATCTGGCAATTAAAAGACATTTCTTGTTTCAATGTTTGAATTGCAGATTTGCTGGGAAGTTAACCACCATTTGAGCTAACGTGTAACCTATTCATGTTAGGGAATAATAAAGAGGGGATCAGGTAATAACAGGTGGTCATCATGAGGTTCAACACCTCCTTGAGCTCTTCTTTAACCCGTAGTGATTGAATGTCAAGCAGCGAGACTGAACGGATGTTTGATGCTTCCTTCGTCTCTCTTCTTCTTGTTCTGTGTCGTTCAGTTCAGTCAGTTGTCATTTTTGAACGTAGCTTAATGCACTCTGAGAACTTATTTTTAACACATACTGTCTGCATGGCTGGCTAAGAGAGGCACTGAACAGCTTGAATTAAAACATTATTTCAACTCGTACACACTAACCGTGTCTTTAAAGAGGTAATCTCATTAATCCTAGCTTTGAACATACATTTAGATACACCATTATGAATGAATCCCTAAGATATTCCTTTTTTTAACAGCCTCACTTGCTTCAACAAACAGAAAAAAGAAAACGCTGCAATTCCATCTTTGAGGCGTAGCTCTCCTCTCCTTACAGCCCTAGTCTTATCCCATTTCAGTAGTAGAGCTGAGTTGCAATTGGTATGCAGCACAGTGCTCCTGCTTTTTCTGTGCGCTTATCTCTTCGGTCAGTCCCATCACTAGCACTCCTGCTCAGCTCCAGTCTGACTGCCTCTAATTGGCTCCGGCCCTGCAGGCCAAATGGAAAAACAAACTGACGAAACAAAGTCTCCATGCGGATCTGTAGTAGCGGCCTGCAGAAGAGAGACAGCTCAGAGACCAAGGGCAAAACGGGCACGAGGGAACGGCTGTTTTAGTATTCTAAGGGTTTTCAATTTATGTGTTTTTTTGAGGTGCAGATATTTGTGTGTGTGTGTGTGAGTGTGTGTGTGTGTGTGTGTGTGTGTGTGTGTGTTTACTCTTTAAGGTCAGAGTAAAATAAGTCACATTAAAGTCCTGGAACAGCCACAACTCCCTTATCAACATAGGCACTTTCACACATAAATGCATCATGTTTTTTTCATCACGCGCCTACTCAGCACATTCCCACCTCCCCTCCCTCTTGTCTCTTCAGAGAGGTGGAGTTTATCCAGAAGGAGGATACAGAGAGGAGGCGGCTGGAGGAGTCTGAGAAAGCTCACCTGGCTGAGATCCAGGGCCTGCAAATACGGGTAAAGCAGATCAGTTAACCACCAAATGTCTCTGCGTAGCTCTCTGTGCTTCATTTTTTTCCTGTACAGTATGTTGTCTGCAAAATAATCCCAATAGCCTGTGAAGAAAACAGCACGGCCTCTGCTGTTTGTCCTCACTGACACACGGGGAAGGTTTTCTCCTCCTGAGACAGTAACAGCTGCTCGACTTGTTGTCAAGGGGCCTGTAGTCTCTTCTATTGTCAAACTCTGTATTGATTTTCTGCTTTCCTGGTCTTCAAACATGACAGTCATGTTGTTTTTCTCCTCAAGTCTCAGGCCGTGCCCCTCAGTTGAACAGGCAGTCAACCCCACTGTCCCCTACTATTATTCTGCACACTGAGCACTCATTCATATACTGCACTGCATTGTTACGGGTGAAGGAAGTGTTACTCTTGTGCTGCCTCGAAAAGAAATGGTACCTATCTTTGGGGGGTAAAAACAGCTATATTCATGTTTTACTTTTGCTCTGTTCAAAAACAACACGTTTTCAGGGACTGATAATGTGCCTTCATCTTGCAGACAGTTGTATTTCAGTGCTTCAAAGTAGCTGTTGTGACAGGTAAATGCCTACAGGTGATGAGCATTGATCGGTTCCTGTCTCTCTGCAGATTGCAACGTTGGAGTCGGAGCTAATGCAGCTGATGAAGCAGAACGGCATCCAGGTCAACAACAACAACAGCAACAGCGCCGAGAGGCTCAGCGCTCAGCAGAACAGCCCTAAAAGAGCTGCAGTGCAAGCTAGAGGTTTGTCTGTGAGGGGACTCTGGCAGGATCTTAATGATGATAGTTCTATTTTAAAAGACTCATTTTACTTTTTTGGGGGGGGGGGGGTGGTTAAGAAAAATTGTCTTACTGAGCTTATTACAAAAACTGAGGAAAGGGCTGACACAGCATTTTGTTCACTGGTAAGAATCTCCAACCAGCACCTCTTAAGCTCACTAATTAACAAAGTTTGTCTCAATTTTTTGTTCTAAAGTAAAGAGAAAGTTTAAAAACAAGTTGTGGTTTTATATCGCTTATGTGCAGAACTATTTCTTGACCGGGAACTACAATCCAAGCATTCCACATGGATGGCCGATTTCAGTCCTCAATTTATACGGATCAAAACCAAGTCAGTCTAAATGTTAATATGTGAGCCTCAGAGGTGCTGGCAGGATAATGTCAGTAAGGCTAAGCTGTTGTTTCCTGTTTCCAGCCTTTGTGGGGCAGCAGTAGCTCAGTCCTTAGAGACTCAAGTTGGAAACCAGAGGGTTGTGAGTTCAAGTCCCGAGAACTGACAAGGGGATTCTTAACCCCCTGGCCCCCAACAGCTCAAGGGTGCCCCCTGTGTAGCCCCCTCACTCTGACATCTCTTCATTAATGCATGTCTAAAGGTCCTGTTTGTGCACATGTGTATTTTGGCCCTGTTTGTGTGAGAAGCAGGAATAAAGTATAAACAATAAAGTGTAAACCCGAACTGAATAAAGAAGTTCACATAAAGCTAACCGTGTCCTGGCGCTAGCTTCAAATTTAAAGGTCCCATATTATGCTTTTTCTGGTTTTATATGCCCTTTAGTGTGTTTTCCATGTGTCCTGTGCATGTTTAGGCACATCTATGTGCAAAAATTCAAAGTCCACGGAAACGCGGCTTCTCCTACCTCCTCCTGTTAGCTGTAGCATTAGCCGCATGTAACGCTCGGTTCTAGCCCCCCTCGATAAAAATGTGTCAGTCCGACGTCATTGTCAGTGTGAGATCACTGATCTAAGCCCATTGGCTCGTTGTGGCAAGCCCTGCAGCTCAGCGTGCTGAGCAACTGACCAATAACGACAGAGCGGTTCGGCAGACCAATCAGAGCAGACATGGCCCACGTGGGGTGCAGCTGACAGACTCAGAGCGTAGAGGGAGCAAGGAGGAGCAGTACATGAAAACAGACACTTTTTTTCGAACTTTAGCTATTGTGAACGTACAAAAGTAGGAACATAGATTAAATATACGAACCCCAAAAAGGGCATAATATGGGCTCTTTAAACGACTAACAGTTTACTTGACGTTTACATCTAGCTTTTTAACAAAATATTAAATTATGAAGGTCAGTATTGGCTAAGAGATAAAACACATGAACATGTTATCTGAATACCCTCAGATTCATGTCTGATATCTTGTCCTTTATTTAAAGTTCCCTACTGCATTTTTCAGTTAAATTAAGTTTCAAGTAAATCCCAAAACCTTTGTGTTGTTCCCAAATGACACATGATTCAACTCGACAACATTGCCACAAACTCTGCTGCCTTAACCTTCACACACTCTTTGCCCCCTGACTGTAGCCTCACTTTTGCCCTTCCCGAACAAAAACAAGCGCGTAATCCCCTTTAAGCACATCTGTCTGCCTTTGTTCCACTCCTCTTCTTTTTTAAAGCTCCGCTGGCTTGTTTGCAGAAGCTGCAGCTGTCAGGAGTGAGTGTGTGTGGAGAAGTGCCATATCTTCATGAGTTAGAGTTCAGATCAGATAAGAGAGTGATTTTATCTGCGCCGATGTGAGTGATACCGCTCATTATGCAATAACAAGGAAGTGGAGGGATGGAGAAGCATGTGGGAGGAGATGACAAATCTGCTGAAATGAATGTGAAATGTAAATTATTTCAGTTTATGTCTCCTCTGACAGTTTATCCGTGTGCACTTGGGGAATGTGAAAGGACATGATAATTACCAGCCTAATCAAGAGTGTCACTTGTGTGGAGGACTTGATTTTTTAGTGAATTTGTTATTAAATAGACTTGTTTAAAGGGGCTGTTCACACGGAGACAAGGCCAACGAGGAGTGTCTCTTAATAAAGACAAAACAAAACATACTGTAGGTTTGATTGTGAACAAAGGGACAGAACAGAATATGTTTGTACCTTTTCAAGTTCAATCATTGTTGTTTTTACACTCTAGCTTTTTTTTTTTTTTTTTTTTTTTTTTTTTTAAATCTTTGTGTTTGCGTTTGTTTGACTCCAGACCTGAGGGAGGATTTGACCCACTCACCCAGCAAGAAGAAGAGCTTCAGAGGAGTCACCCGAGACAGCATGAGCTCCACAGAGGGAGAGGTTGGTGTTAAAACATGCAAACATCTTCATGATTAGTAAACAACAACGTACCTCTTTTGAAAGAAATCCACCAAATGGAGTGTTGACAGATTCCAAGATCCATTATTAACAACTCTTTGAACATGACTCTGATTTCATGATTTCACCACAGGGTGTTTGATTAGTGTGAGTGTCTTCCAGCCTGTTTTTGTGTCTTTAACCCCTGTCCATTCCACTTTATTCCTTTAATGGTTTAATTGCTGTGTGTTGCTCTGAGACACTAATTTACTCTGTCACAACTTATTGTCTCTACCCAGCGTGATAATAACAGCCACAGTCTTTTTTTTCTGGATGAGAGACCCTCGTTCTAGCTCATGTTGTCACTTAACTCAGCCAGAGCAGCAGGAGCGGACTCAGATTGGATAAAAACCAGAGAACTGGATCAGAATTGGCAGGAGAACAGGAAGCAGGCAGTGTGTGGCTTCCAGGGGGGGGGGGGGGAGGGCGAGGAGTTGGAGAGAGTGAAAGTATGTCAAGTGACTTCTTTCAGATTAGTCTGGAGCACTGGATGTTCACATCAAATTTCCTTCCTGATTGCACTGAAGTTGTTTTTTGTTTTTTTTGAGACTTCTGTCTGTTTTCTCTTCTTCTCATCGCCTGGCCACATTCTGCCCACTCTGCTTCCTGTTCTCTCACACCTTATATCTTAACATGTTTCATTTGTCATCATTATATCTGTCCTCAGGTCTCAGAGTGGCACAGCAGTCCAGTCCACAGTCGTTCTGGTTCGATTCGCAGCGCAGCCCCTGGCAGTGCCGAAAGCTCCCCCAGAAAATCAATGAATCCCCCGTTTGGCACAGGAGGTTTCCAGGACGGTTAGTACATCCTCATTATACCCCGTAATGGATGATCAAGTGTTCACTAAAACATTTGTAACTGCATCTACTGATGGACTTCATCTTTAAACCTAAAGTAATCTCACTGAGCTGTTTGTGATCACAGGTTCTCAGTCTCCAGCGAAGTCCAACCCCTCTCGCAGTCTGGAGGAACGCAACCAGGCTCTGGACCCCGGGTGAGAATACAAGAAGTGGAATTTATGTTGGCTTAAAAGCATTTTAATAATGTATTGCAGGTAGAAAATGTATATGAATATGTATTTCAGTAGTGAAAGCACCAAAAGGATTCTTCTTAACAATCAATATGATTCTACATGTGTCAGTATGTTAAGTCTCCCTCTGACTCCCTCAGGTCCCCCCTCAGGAAAACCACATTGAAGGAAAAAGATCCAAGAGCCTCACCTGGAAACAGGTATAAGACCATTTCATCAGAGTTTGAGTTTACTATCCTGCTGGCATAAATTGATCTTTAATAAATGTGGCACTGTAATGGTACCAGGTACTGAAAGACTCAGAGATGGACAGGGCAAAAAAAGAGTTCAAAAAATGGGTTTTGTCTGTGACAATAGATGAATAAACACTTTAAGAGCAGTCCAGAATGGAATACAAATTAAGTTACGGCAAGGGCAAAAATCCAAATATCTGGAAAAGTCAAAACCTCAACTAAATGTAGAGTTACTGGAAAGTGATGCACACACTAAGTGTGAAAAAAGACGATCGAGCACTTGAGGTGGAAAAACAAAGGAGAATATGAATCAGCTTCAGGTGTGTAATGAGGACAGGTGCTGGATATCAAGGGACTGGGAGACACATTGGCTGTTTTCAAAACCGCCTACTATACAAGTGGTATGTACTGATTTGGCCAAAATGCAGTATTTATAGTAGTAGTAGTTTGTAGTAGGCAGTTTTGAAAAAAGCCATTGAGGCAGGAGCTGATGTGACAGGAGATATTAGATTTCAAAATAAAGCAGAAATCGTAATATACCAGATTAACTCATTGTTAAGAGACACACTGGCCAGGCCAATGTCTCGATATCTTTTTTTCATCTTTCCTAAAATGTGTCTAGATTCTCAAACAGTTTGAGAAATATGTGGCACAGTAACTGTCAGCACTGACCTCTATTTATTCCTCCCTCCATCTCTCTCCCCCTCTCTCTTCTTCTCTCAGCTCCACAGAGCCATCAGCAGAGGACAGTCCACAGAAACTCAAAGCAAAGGTACATGAGGTTTGGCAGCTGTACAATGATCAAATAAAGATTGACTTTACAGTGAGGACATTAGGGACTTTGTTTCTGCTGATGTAATATAATGAGACTGATCGGGCTTTCTGCCAGAACGTTACTCTAATACTTGCATACTTAAAGTGTAATGACATATTGTCTTACGTTGTTCCTTTTGGCTGCAATGTTTTCTTGTTATTCCTGTCGAACAGAACTCTCTTACATGGCCCCACTTCTTCTCCTATTCATATTATTTGGTATTGTATATTTATGTATTCATTTTTTTTATTTAATTACACCTCAATCCACTGAAATGAAAGTTGGTTCTCTAAGAGGTAAAAAGGTCTGATTGTAAATTAAATTTTTTACTGCAATCATGTGAATTTGTAAATCATTATCTAATGCAACAAATCAATCACTTGATTTGTCAAAAATCCAATCAATCAAAAATCCTGAATATACCTTATCATTTTGTAATTATTGTTAAAAATTTTGTTGAGTTTTAATTTTGTGAAAAGTGTTCCCAGTAAAAATCAGCTTGATTACATCCTGTGAAATCAGTGAAATCAGTCAGTAAGCGTCCTTCTGGCACAATGAGATTAATCTTGTTAACATGGGCCTTTGTGGCAGCGTAAGAGCTCACATGAAATGATTTCTAATTCAGTGTAGTGTCAGATGTGGTGACCTCTGGATTCAACAGGAGATTAGTTCTGATTTTGCACAAATCCAGCTCTTATCTCTCTCTAGCACACACTCACAGCTTCAGATGAGAGCACATATATATATATATATATATATATATATATATATATATATATATTATTGCAGAAAGAATGAACATGAATAGTTCAATGGAGCTTTTAAGTGAGTATTCAGCCCAAGAACCTGAATAGTCTGAACTTGTGAGATTATACGTATTTTTATCTCAGAGTCCTGAAATTCAAAGAGCTCCTTAAGGAATGTTATAAAGCTGAATGTAAGCCAAAGCTCTGCACTTAAAACTCAAAATCATGTCATGCTACACTTAATAATTCTATCCTTTCTTTGGAAGATCTCAGTTCTGAAACTACATACCATTAATAATTAGTTAAAAGATGAGATTTCGACTATCTTATATACACACAGACATATTTGTCCTCAGATTTCGTGCCGTTCTCTCCTGCTGATAGTCAGCTGTAGCTTGTCTCTGGATGGTTGACCTCAGATCTGCAAATTCATTCTATAATTCCATTCATGTCTATGCTCTCCCATTTTCACAAGGACACAGAGAGAGATTTTTTGGAGTTGGATAGCGTCCAGATACATCACTTCTAACCACTAATCATTTTCACAGCTTGTGCTACAATGTGACATCTTGAAAAAGGATGTGCACATTTCTGCCTTTCAACAGTTTATCAAATATCATAAATCCTTAATAGTAGCTCATGAATCATTCTGGTACAGTTTCTCCCCTGCTTGATTTATTAACGCCAGTCTCTCTGTTTAAGAACTAGAGACCATTAAACCACAATCTAATCCACTTAATCCAGCGTCAGAGTCAGATGGCTCTCACTGTAAGTTTAACAAGTGTGTTCTTGATTTGTCAGGGGCCATCTCTGAACGATGACCTGAGTGCCAGCAGCAGCAGCTCAGTGGAGATCAGCGGGCTGAGCGAAGCCAAGATGTCGGGACGCTCACACACACTGGTGCTCTCCTCAGACGAGGTACACACACACACACACACACACAAATTTACGATATTTGCTGTGTTTTAAACTGAAGTTCCCCAGGAGGCAGGGTGATGATAGTTTCCAAGATAAGATGCAATATTCAAGAGGTTTATTTCAACACATCAAAGGTTAATGTGAACCACTAAAAGCAGCGATTAATTACCTTGTCAGCACAAATGTGAACCAAATGCTCAATCAGTTTCCATCACATCAAGTAGCTTTAATCAACATCCACTTTTCTAATTCGCAGCTTTTTTTAAAATGTCAGATTCTGCTATTTATTCTATTAAAAAGCATGCATTTCAATGCAAACAAATAAAAAACAAGAACTGCTTGCACAATGCAACTTTTCTGTTCTTTCTCTTTTTTTTTCTCAGTGCCTCCGTTTTTCATCTTAATGGATATCTCTGACAGAAAAACACATCATACTTTAGGAGTCTGATTGTCTCATATCCTACAGACAGTAAACAACAAGCTTCAAAATCAATGCACCGGATAAGGCTCATTGTTCTCAGATGTTAGTCTACGCTGCTGTAGTGGAATCCATACTGGTTTTTTTTTATTTCTCTGTGAACAAACCAGTTTTCTTCTCTTTTTTTTCAATGCTGCCTCATTCAGAGCCTGGATATGATAGATGATGAGGTGAGAGGGTTGTGTCCTACTGCATGCATGCATGTGTTTGTGTCTGCTGAGTGCATGCTATTCATTTGTGGTACTTTTCCACACCAAGCGTCATTCAAGGAAAAGAATGATTGTTTTGTGCTTAACCCACGGACTAGCATGTGTTGCCACAGAATTGTCACATTGCTTTAAGTCTGACCTCAATGCACATTTATTTAGCATTTTTCATCTAACAGCTCACTTTTAAAGGGTTAAAGATATGTTAATGCTTTGCAACTGACCTGCTCCCCTCTCTCGTTCTCTCTCTCTCTCTCTCTCTCTCTCTCTCTCTCTCTCTCTCTCTCTCTCTCTCTCTCTCTCTCTCTCTATGTTCCCCATTTGTCTTCCTCTGTTGGTAATGTTCAGATTTTAGACGAGGGACAGCTTCCAAAGCAGAATCAAAACCGCAGCGTCACAGAGTGGACCTCCCAGCAAGTGGCCCGCTGGCTCACAGGCCTCAACTTAGAACATCATATCCCAGAATTCACTGCCAAAAACGTAGACGGAGAACAGCTTCTGCAACTGGAGAGCGATGAACTCAAGGTTGGTTAAAACAGCAGGTTTTTCTTACATGTATTTTTCAAATATTGTGCTCTCAAACATAAATATTTAAGCCCACAGATACATCACTATTGGCAACCATGTCAAGGTTGCATTCGAGTAGTACCAACCATGTTTGATGGATTTTAGAAATGATGCTACCATTACACGTTTTTCCCACAAAAACATGTTTTTTAAACTGTAAGAGATAATTCTCCATGTTTATTTATAATGACAGAAGCTAAGTTCATTCATTTATTTGCTTCAGGCCCTCGGAGTAACATCTTCCCAGGACCGTGCCCTGATCAAGAAAAAGATAAAAGACCTTAAAGTTCTGATGGACAAGGCCAAGAGGAACCGAGAGAAACTGGAGAAACAACGCGAGAAGCTACGGAAGAGAGAGCTGGAGCAGCAGCAGAAAGACAATGTTACAGAGTGATATGATTTGTAAGATCACCTCCTGCTTTGACGTAGCACCCCCACCACGTAGCATCTGGAGGAACAGAACTTTTAGGAGGCCTCAAAATGAACCCTGAGGAATGCCTTCCTGAGAAGTTCAAAAGTTCTCAGTGGTGGAGCTACATCCAGCTGTCTGAGATTGTCGGGTGACTTTATCCCCAAGTAAATTAAACCAAAACAAGCAGCTGGATAATGAATGCTGCCCTATTCGTCTGCCTGGTTTGACACCCATCCTGTGGTTTTCGCCATCACAGAATTTACTCAGTTCTATATGTTTAGCTGTAAATTTGGTTTATTTATTCATATCCTGAGTAAGTCTGTTAAAAGTCTCCCTTATCCTCATCCAATACCATCTTCTGAGCCTTCAATATTATCCATCACAGCACCTTTAGCTATAACAACCATGTACGTGTACAGTGATGAATACAGATACAAAAATGTCTGATGTGCCATTTTGATAGACTTTTTTTGAGTGGAGAGATACATACTGTAGGAAGCAGTACCTCTCTTCCACCACTGGGTGTCCCCATGCTGCTTACTTTAACAACTGAAGAAGAAACACAGGAACCGAAGTGGGAAACATTTTTCATTGGGAGAAACTCCATCTCTCAGTGCTGACAAGAACACTGGAAGTGCAAACACTGTAAATGTAAACTCTGTACTAGCTTTTTCCAATTCTCCTTACAGTAAACATGTACCACAAAGTTTGAATGAACACAGGGACACACTGTTCTCATCAGACTGGTTCTAATGGAGAATTCAGGTACAATGTAATGATGGGATTTGTAATTTACCAAACCTGTATGACAAAAAAAGTGTTAAAATGAAAGCTTCTCCTTATATGCATAATGTTGCTTTTACTCGGCTTGTGACCTGCTTTTGACCTCTTTTTATATTCTAACTCAATAACAAAGTAATACCCCGCCGCTGCCTTTAGAAATTCTAGACTTGTAGAATTTTTCTGAACTCTACCCGCTTCTGTGAGAGTGTCCAAACACATTTAGTAGACTAAAAATATGTTCCAATTATTTCCTCAAACTTATAGGTCAATGTCACCTTGCAAAATACTTCGATCATATTTGCTGCCATATAGATCGGTCTTTTCTGTGATCAAGGACTGATGCAGTGAGTCCAGGACTACTGATGTTACACTGGAAATATAGTTTAATTTTTTCTTATGAAACCAGTTCAATAATACTTAAACCATTTTTGATTTTCTTTGTTGATATAATTCTTTGAAATTATTTTGATATATGTATTTAATGAAATTCTTGTTTTAAGGCTGAGGCTCACTGAGAGACATGCGCCCTGTGTCACTTCTTTATCATTCCCGAGAATCCTCGTGTAGGTTTACATCAAAGCTCCTGTGAGGAACATTCAGTTTGTGTCCATTTTGCACCCCCCCCCCCCCCATACTATGGACAAAGCAGACTTTCCTGATTTTTGTTTTGTACATGTGTGAGGAGTGTTTTTTTTTTTCTTCAACAAAAATCTCAGCCTGCTTTCTTTTAACTGTCAAAACATCAATATTTGAGAATCTTTGCTGTGAAATATGTAAAGAAAAAAAAAAAGTCAACCATGTACAGGTCATCACTTCGACTAACTCCTACCCCACGACACAGGTTTCAGGTATTCAAAAAATGACAGAAATTGTTTATCTTAATTCTAATTGTCTAGTTTGATTTTGTAGGTCATATAGAAGCTTCAGTATTAATTTAAATCTGTTTCATATCCAAGTAAAAACTCCTCACAGGAGCTTTAAATATAGAGACACCAGTGTCACCGTGATTTAGAAACAAAGGCAGCTTTGTTAGGATTCCCTTTCCTCTGAAGGGCCCCTGCCTGGTGCACGATCAGAAACAGGAATAATAGTACGAGTTACAGATACCTCCATGAAATGCCACAGTTATACAGGTACCACTGATCTGTTCATGTTATTTATTTATTTCTGTATTTAATGAAGAAACTGACTACTGTTTATGATAACTTATACAAAATAAGAGTATTATTAACACCTAGATGATTTATCCAGAATTGTATGATGACTTCCTCTTGCCAAAATATAATGAAAACTGTTCATTAAAGGTGATTTAGATTCAAATGGTTATCAAATGAAGTACTTCATGTTTAGATATGCAACGTGTGAAGAAAGCATTACAACTCTCCCCATTGTGCTTGTAGTTTGAATTAAATACAACCATAGAGCTGCTCCAGTGCTCCTCCAATAATCTGCTCATGATGTGTTCTTATGAAATATTTTGTAACACTTGAACCTTCCTGTGAATATCCTCCTCTCTCCCCCCCTCTCTCTTTCTCTCTCTCCTTGTTGTGTCAGACTGCTGACTGCGCTCTTTCAACTCTTTTGTATTTCAAGTAAAACACAGAGCAATACGCTGTAAGAATCCTAAAGAAGCCTTGTTTTATATTGTGTCAGTGTGTATGCACAGTTTGTATGAGGGCTGAGGAGGCTTAAAGGTCACACCTGAGGCCCAAAATCTTTTCTATGAGCTTGCCTGGCATGATGAAACCCATCTATGGATGAGACACCTGGTGCTGGTGCACCTGGCTGGCGGGAATACAAAATGTCTGAGTAGTGTCTGGGCCTGTTTGACAAAGAGCAAAAAAAAAGATAATCACCACAAACTGTTAGCCATGCTTTCACTGTTTTAAAAAGCTCTGCTTATTCCCCTCCTCCTCCTCCTTTGTTGACATTACCTTGCTCTTTTTTTTTCGCATTCTGAAAAGTTGGAAAGTGCAGCTACCTGTCACTCTGAATAAAATGTGCAGCCACTGTCCACAGTTTGTTTTTGTTTTTTCTTGTTTCACCACTGACATTATCTGACTTCTTCTACAAACTTTTAGAGACACAAATCTGTGCCGCTAGTATACAGAACTCATTTTGTGACTGTTTAAATTTGTTTCTTTTTTATTTATTTCCTTACTATAATCTTGCACAATAAATACGATATTTAAAACTCGTAAAAATCTATTAAATATAAACCCTTACTTAAACATTTAGCCATAAGAAATTGGAATAATAGACTACATTCTCATTGCCTGTTATTTTTAACCATGTAACCATTCACTGTCTGAGCAGACCGGCTGGTCTGGAGTCAGTTGTAGCTCCTCAGTCCCCTCCCTCTCTCCTTTCTATTTATATTCAGCCTAATTTCACTGGGTCTATTTTTCCCCTCTGATGGCTCCCTCTTCTCACTTGTTGCTTCTCCTACCTTATTTCTGTCTTCCTTTCTCAAACACCTCCTGTATCTGATATTGGAGCTCATGGAGGCCTTCCTCTGTGGGTATGGTTGAACCCTTCATTGCCCTCATTTGTGGGTGTATTTCTTCTTTTCTCCATGCTGTCTGGAGAACATTAGTGCCACACGAGGAGCGAGTGTCTTCTCTTACAGAGCTCATGGAAGAGTTGAGCCCCAGTCAGCTGGCTGTCAGACAGCTGAAGAAACAGTTCCTGGAGGCCCTGCAGGCCAACAATGCTGAACAGGTCCTGCAGATCCTGCACACAGGGAAATTAGATATCAACGTAGTGCTGGAGGTGGACGACCCTGGAATGATACTGGCCTCATACAAACAAGGTAAAGAGTAAGGGGGAGGACACCGGTCTATACATCTCATTTGTTGAATTATAATGCTGACTTTTTGAATGTTCATATCAAGTTTGAAGGCCCAGAAAGATACGTTTTCACGTGACTCCAAATTCTTTCTGTGGAACAACACATTTTAAGAGAGTATATGTGTTATTTTTTGTTCTAGAAAAGCATTAAATAGATAAATTGTCATGGATGTGTGGTCAGTTTTGTAGTTTGTCCACTAGGGGGAACTAATGCCCATGAATCCTTCAGCTAAAACATAGACTACACTACAGAATGTGATAAATTACAATAATCACAGTTATTCTGAAAAAAAAAACAGAAGAATCACAAAAGAATCAAATCAAAGCCATTCGGAGATATAAAAAATAGTAAAAGTGGTATATTTATAAAAAATGTTTTCATTGCCTTAAAAAAAGACTCAACTTTGAACTAAAGCAGTTAATATTTGTTCTTTGTTTTTTTTTAAAGGCTGTTAAATTAATGAATAATTTTAAAGCTTCATTTGAGTTGACATTTTTAGGTTTATTTGGGGGCTTTCTGCTTTAATTTAGGTAGGACAGTGCATACAGTAGGACATCGGGAGAGAGATTGGGAAATAAATAATAATAATACATTTTATTCATAAAGCACTTTACATTTAAACAAAAATCTCAAAGTGCTAAATACAAAAGCAATAATGTGGCATGTAGGAAAGGAGCTGCAGGTCATACTTGAACCAGGGTCACCCGCTTAAAGGAACAGCCTACGTACATGGGGTGTGATCTAACCGTCAGGTCATCAGTGACCATGACCTTTCTATTTTAACTGGGTCCCCTCCTGTGTCAATCAGTCACAGCATACTTCATTTATAGAGACCTGTCATTCACATTTTTTAAAACGTTTTTCTGTTCCAGTTGAGCCCCATAACTCAATAGAATCCTGATTAGAAAGAACAGTTTTACAGTACCTTAAAACTGCCTTGCTTCTTCACAGGTTATTGGCTCCCAGGATACAAACTGGAGAAGTCATGGGCGATGGGGATCCACGTGTGTGTGATGTACAACGCTCTGGAAACAGCTCTGGTGCTCCTTCAGGAAGGTGCATCCATCAACGGAACGCCCAACGGGAAGACTCCACTGCATGTGGCCTGCGAGGTCTCCAACAGCGACTTTGTTTCTTTGCTTTTGTCTCACAAGGCGAAGGTCAACAGCCTGTCACTGAGCGGGCACACACCGCTGCACCACTGCACCCGCCGGGAGTCTGTGGACTGTGCCAAGCAGCTCATCCTCAAAGGTCAGGAGGGAGAGGTGCACGATAAAATGGATTAAAGTGTCATCAAGGACAATAAAATGATCATTTATTTTTTCATGAAGGTGCAGACGTCAACATGCCTAGCCACAGCAATGAAGAGGAGACTGCCCTACACACAGTAGCCAGGTTTGCAATCCCAGAGCTGGTGGCTCTCTACTTGGCTCGTGGAGCGTGTGTGGATGCTCTCAACTCTCTGCAGGAGACTCCACTCATGACTGCAGCTTTCTGGGCTTTTGACACCAGAGAACAAGTCTACAGAGAGGACCACCATCTGGTCTGTCGCCTCCTGCTGGACCACGGGGCTGGTGAGCGTTTCGACCTGAGACTGTACCTCAGCTTGTACCTTTAACTATGGAAGACTGTGAGGTGTGTTTTCAACAAGAATGTCCTTCGTCTGCAGATCCAAATCTCCAAGAAGAGGATCATAAAACAGCTCTTCACAAAGCCGCCTGGAACTGCGATCATGTCCTGATGCAGATGCTGCTTGAGGCTGGAGCGAACACAAGAGCCATGGACATCAACGGCTGCGCCCCCATCCAGTATCTGCTCAAAGTGACTGATGTCAGGCCTGCTGCCATACCTGAGCTCTGCTACCAGCTGCTGCTCAACCACAATGCACCACGGGTCTACCCACCACAGTTCCACAAGGTACACACATGTGGACTGCACTCTGTGTGAGACTGCGGTGCTGTGTATTATTATGATGTTTGTGCTTTTTTTTTTTTTTGCAGGTGTTGCAGTCCTGCCACAACTTGCCCAGGGCTGTAGAAATCATGGTCAACTCGTATGAACGCTTAAAGCCCACAAATAAGTGGAGAGCTTCCATCCCTGATGAGTGCTACAAGGTAGGAAAAAGATCTGCTGTACATGGATGGTAAAATGTGTGTGTTCAGGGGAACAGAGGACAAGAGCATCATTTCTGTCTGTTATTCCAAAAGGATGAAAATAATTGACCTTAAATAGATAAGAAAAACACTTAACATGTTTGAAATGTAGGCCTTGTAATAGAATATCTAAACATAATCAAAGCAATATGTTTTTTTTTTGTCTCAGTTAAATGTTAATATGTGTAATGTTTGTCTTTCTTCCTCAGAGACATAAAGTTTTCTACGACTCTTTGTTCGCCGTTTGCAGCAACACTCCTCGCAGCCTGCTTCACCTGAGCCGGTGTGCCATCAGAGCCAGCCTGGCTGAGCTCTGTTACAGAGGTGTAGCACAGCTGCCTCTGCCTTCTTCCATGAAGAAATATATATTACTGGAGCCGAAGGGGATTCTCTACTGACAATGGTCATCAGAGACTTTTTTTAAAATCCATATTCTAATCTGCAGCCTGACACCGAAAAGATTTAACGGGAACTTTCACTCCCTGTCTGCAGAACATGGAAAGTGATCTTTGAACTTTTTCTCATGCATACCATTCCTTGAGGCTTTTCCTTAGGAACAAGAAATCCCTCATTAGTGTTTGACAGCTCAAGAGATATTTGCTATTTCTTGTAATAAAAAAATATTCATGGTGAATGGCGAGTGAGAAGTCCTCTTCCTGTGTTACTTTCCCTGATTATTAGAGGTTTAAGGGGAACAACAATCACCTCTCTTTTCTGAAGTCCTTGTTTTAATTATAAATGACTCTTTCCATAAACCTCATTAGTCTCTTTTTTCTTGTTTAACACGTTTGATTGGGTTTTCTATTTGCCACATTAGCATACATTTGCATCACTGCATATAAGCGCATAGGCAGATAACAGCTGCCACATTACAGAGGTTACAGTATTTTAAGTTTACCTTCGACACCAACTCAGCCCACCCTCCACCCCACTGTCCCTACAGGCCTGCATGTTAAACAAATTATAGTACAGCAATATTTATAATCAACTATAGATTGCAGGAGTGCATACAGTGTTTTAAAGTGAGTTAAAAGCTATAATACTTAGCTTTGCCTTTGGGTAGTCATTTCGTGGTTAATCCAAATAAGGAACACATGGGATTAG